GGGCTTTGCTACAGGCTGTTTAACCCTCTTTCATTTTCTCTCTCTCTCTCTCTCTCTCCAAGCATATGTATTTAGTTTTCTGGGTCAATTTCTCATTCTGCATAATTATGATTATCATTATCATTCTTATTCTTAGTAGTAGTAACAGTATTACTACTGATATCATCTTTATTTCTACCACCATTATCGCTTTATCACAAATAGGATAACCTATATCTGTTATAACTGAACAAAAACAAGTTCTTGGGAGGCGCTCACCCCCCTCTGGTCTAGCCAAGAGCACAGTTTCTCGGCCTCGCCTTCACTCCGTATGACAGGTGCGCCCAACCCCTTCAGCACCTGCGGGGAAATTACTTGTCATAAGGGTAGTTTTGATCTTGTGAGCTATTGTAATGGTTATTATGAATGTCCTAAAAATTACGAATAATCACCGTAACAATAATTAGAATGATAGTATTTAGCATCAATACGGGTACTCTCCCTTCCTCATCATTTTTCATTATCATCATCTGGTTATTAGTATTATAAAATGTCAATTAGTGTTATCAATCCATTTTATTTCACCAGTGGTAATACCGTAAACAGACCAATGTGAACGCGACAACTGTAAAGTAAAATAATATTAACAACCAAAACACCTTTTTTTTACCTGGGTAAGTGCAGCTGTTGGCCTGGTGGTGCACGGATCCTCATACCTACCGGTTCACAAGATTCATTGATATCTATGAATGTAAATTATCAGCTGCATAAACATACACAGTAAGCTATTGTTTTCGCTCAAAAAAATAATCAGAAAAAAATAAAGCCCCCTTTACCACGCCTTACATTTTTTTCCTCTCAGCCGACGAGAGCTTTCTGGCCTTGTACCGTAAAGAATTCCATCTGCGTTCGGCGACGACTGGCAGCTTTTCCTGTGGCACTCTTCCGTCCAGGACAACAAGGGGCACTATGCCCGCCCGGACGAGGTTCCTTACGCGATAGAAGAAGGATCTGAGGGAGAGGGAAAGGTTTAGAGGATTTAGTATTTGGTTTAGTCGGAGAAGAATGCAATAACAAGAAAGGTGAACAACAGCACGTTTCACGTGTTGTGAAACACTATAGCACACACACACACACACACACACACACACACACACACACACACACATATATATATATATATATATATATATATATATATATATATATATATATAGAGAGAGAGAGAGAGAGAGAGAGAGAGAGAGAGAGAGAGAGAGAGAGAGAGAGAGAGAAAGAGAGTGAGTGTGTGTGTCTACCTGAGCCCCATGTTGACGACCCAGCCCGAAGCATCTAGAGCTAGCACGGAATCCCTAAGCTGTTCAAGGGGCACGTCCTCCTGAGCCTCCTGCAGGATGCGCCAGAGTCCTTTCACGCCCATTTTTCTCTTAAGAAAAACTCACCGGGGATTAGCAACTATGCTAAGCAGAATGAAACGTAATACAAGTACTTTCGCTGGAAATTTACGTTTCACGGGATTCAGATTACATGATTGATGCCAATTCATAAACTTATACATTTATTTAACAGTCACGAGCAAAAAATATATAATTTCAGCCATAATCTCTTCTATCATTCCAGATGTTAACTCCTTGAGGGTGAAATTCGTTCTGCGTAAGAATCTTGTAGATAACGGAGCAAAATTTCGAATGAACCGAAAGATTTCAATTCGGCTTCATTTGAGGAAGCGATTAAGGTTATTCGCACAATTAATTAATATCGGTAACTTCTATACTTTGATTAATTTCAAGGGCAACTGAAATAAAACAACCACAGTGAGTAAGGAATAAATATCTTAAGGTCGATGTATTTTTATCCATTTGTGGCGTTTCATCTCAACTGTGCGTGCGCGATAGAGCGTTGCTGCTTTTGTTCATTTTGCATGAGAGCGTGTCATTCATATGTGCGTGCTTGTGTGTGTATGTGTGTGTGTGTGTGTGTGTGTGTGTGTGTGTGTGTGTGTGTGTGTGTGTGTGTGTGTGTGTGTGTGTGTGTGTGTGTGTGTGTGTGTGCGTGTGTGTATCCTTTTAATGTCGTATTCATCTGGCTTTATACCCTCACGGCAGGTCTGACATTAGGGAACGTTCAAATTATCATTATAAAAACGACAATAATAATAGTAGTAATGATGATAATAATAGTAATTACAATAATAATGATAATAGTAATGACAACAACAATAATATTAGTAATAGTAATAAATTATAACAGTGACAATAACGATAATAATGATTATAATAATAATAATTATGATAATAATCGCAATAATTCTGACATTAATGATAATAATTATGAAAATAACAATACGAATATCAATTATTATAATGGTGATGATAATAATGATGTTAGAATATTATGTATGATAACAGGTATATTGGGAATAGCGAAATAATGAATATGAAAATGATAATAATAGTAATAATAATAATAATAATAATAACAGTAATAATAATAGTGACGACAATAGTTATTATTATTATCATCATTATTTTTAATATCATTATCATTGTTACTGTTATATTATAAATCATTATGATTATCATTATCTTATCATTGTCATCATTGTTATTATCATTATCATAATTACTACAACTACGATTATTATCAATGTCTACATCATCATCATCATTACTATCATTATTATTATCATAATGATAATAATAATAACAGTAACAATGGTAAAAATACATTTCTCAATAATAGTAATACTAGTAGTATATAAATACTAATAATAATACGAAGACTACCTACACCTGACTCCACTCTACAGTAAGAAGGGCCAATGCAGTGAAATCCAAGCGAGCCTCAGCATATGCCGGCGTTCCCCACAGACCAGTGACAGGCGATACATCAGTCACATGGAGGGAGAACCGAGGAGAATAGACTGCGTTTACCCTGTGGTTTAACATATGATCCTGCCCTGTGGCTCTCGGTGATGCTCGGCGGTGGTGAAGGAGAGGATGATGAAAAGGAAGAGGAGAAGGAAGAGGTGGAGGAGGAGAAGGAGGTGGAGGTGGAGGTGGAGGTGGAGGTGGAGGTGGAGGTGGAGGTGGAGGTGGAGGTGGAGGTGGAGGTGGAGGTGGAGGTGGAGGTGGAGGTGGAGGTGGAGGTGGAGGTGGAGGTGGAGGTGGAGGTGGAGGTGGAGATGGAGGAGGAGGTGGAGGTGGAAGAAGAGGAGGAGAAGGAGGAGAAGGAGAAGGAGGAGGAGGAGGTGGGGGAGGAGGAAGAGGAGGAAAAGGAGGAGGAGAAGGAGGAGGAAGATGAGGAGGAGGAGGAAAAATAAGAATAAGAAGCAAAGGGAGAAGAAGAAGATAATGTTGATGGTAATGAGGATGAAGAGGACGACGATGACGACGGAAAAGAAGAAAAATAATAATAATAATAAGAAAAGGAAAGACAACAACAAAAAAAAAAAAAAAAAAAAAAAAAAAAAAAAAAAAAAAAAAAAAAAAAAAAAAAAAAAAAAAAAAAAAAAAAAAAAAAAAAAAAAAAAAAAAAAAAAAAAAAAAAAAAAAAAAAAAAAAAAAAAAAAAAAAAAAAAAAAAAAAAAAAAAAAAAAAAAAAAAAAAAAAAAAAAAAAAAAAAAAAAAAAAAAAAAAAAAAAAAAAAAAAAAAAAAAAAAAAAAAAAAAAAAAAAAAAAAAAAAAAAAAAAAAAAAAAAAAAAAAAAAAAAAAAAAAAAAAAAAAAAAAAAAAAAAAAAAAAAAAAAAAAAAAAAAAAAAAAAAAAAAAAAAAAAAAAAAAAAAAAAAAAAAAAAAAAAAAAAAAAAAAAAAAAAAAAAAAAAAAAAAAAAAAAAAAAAAAAAAAAAAAAAAAAAAAAAAAAAAAAAAAAAAAAAAAAAAAAAAAAAAAAAAAAAAAAAAAAAAAAAAAAAAAAAAAAAAAAAAAAAAAAAAAAAAAAAAAAAAAAAAAAAAAAAAAAAAAAAAAAAAAAAAAAAAAAAAAAAAAAAAAAAAAAAAAAAAAAAAAAAAAAAAAAAAAAAAAAAAAAAAAAAAAAAAAAAAAAAAAAAAAAAAAAAAAAAAAAAAAAAAAAAAAAAAAAAAAAAAAAAAAAAAAAAAAAAAAAAAAAAAAAAAAAAAAAAAAAAAAAAAAAAAAAAAAAAAAAAAAAAAAAAAAAAAAAAAAAAAAAAAAAAAAAAAAAAAAAAAAAAAAAAAAAAAAAAAAAAAAAAAAAAAAAAAAAAAAAAAAAAAAAAAAAAAAAAAAAAAAAAAAAAAAAAAAAAAAAAAAAAAAAAAAAAAAAAAAAAAAAAAAAAAAAAAAAAAAAAAAAAAAAAAAAAAAAAAAAAAAAAAAAAAAAAAAAAAAAAAAAAAAAAAAAAAAAAAAAAAAAAAAAAAAAAAAAAAAAAAAAAAAAAAAAAAAAAAAAAAAAAAAAAAAAAAAAAAAAAAAAAAAAAAAAAAAAAAAAAAAAAAAAAAAAAAAAAAAAAAAAAAAAAAAAAAAAAAAAAAAAAAAAAAAAAAAAAAAAAAAAAAAAAAAAAAAAAAAAAAAAAAAAAAAAAAAAAAAAAAAAAAAAAAAAAAAAAAAAAAAAAAAAAAAAAAAAAAAAAAAAAAAAAAAAAAAAAAAAAAAAAAAAAAAAAAAAAAAAAAAAAAAAAAAAAAAAAAAAAAAAAAAAAAAAAAAAAAAAAAAAAAAAAAAAAAAAAAAAAAAAAAAAAAAAAAAAAAAAAAAAAAAAAAAAAAAAAAAAAAAAAAAAAAAAAAAAAAAAAAAAAAAAAAAAAAAAAAAAAAAAAAAAAAAAAAAAAAAAAAAAAAAAAAAAAAAAAAAAAAAAAAAAAAAAAAAAAAAAAAAAAAAAAAAAAAAAAAAAAAAAAAAAAAAAAAAAAAAAAAAAAAAAAAAAAAAAAAAAAAAAAAAAAAAAAAAAAAAAAAAAAAAAAAAAAAAAAAAAAAAAAAAAAAAAAAAAAAAAGGAGAAGAAGAAGAAAAGCAAGAAGGAGAAATCGGCTATGAAGAAGTAAAGGTAAAAGTAGACGAAAAAAAAATCATTCCAACAACACTGTTCATTATTAAGATTAATAACTATAGTAATTATGATAATTACTGTTTTGAGAGGGTTATTGCGTCTAATGATATCATAACAACAAATAATGAAAATGACAAGGATAATGATATGTTGATGATGATTATGATAACAAAAAACAACAATGACAGTGATTGAAATCGATAAAATAGTAATAAGGGTATTGGTAAATATGGTGTTAATGATATTGACAATGAAAATAATATTGATAACATTAGGGATAGTAATACAAATAATGATCATTACCACTACTACTACTACTACTACTACTACTATTACTACTACTACAACTACTGCTACTACTTCTTCTACTACTACTTCTACTACTACTATTCCTACTACTGCGATTCGACTACGACTACAACTAGTACTACCAAGACTACTACTACTACTAATAACAATAATGATAATAAACATAACACTGCCGATAATGGTGATTGCAGTAATGGTAACATTAACAATTATGATTTAAAAGTATGTTGATAATAATAATAATACTAAGAAGAATAACAACAATAATAATAATGATAATAGTAGCAACAAAACATCAGTAATAACAATAATAATAATGATAATAATAGCAACAAAACATCAGTAATAACAATAATAATAATGATAATAATAGCAACAAAACATCAGTAATAACAATAATGATAATGATAATAATAGCAATAAAACATCAGTAATAACAATAATAATGGTGAGGATAATACGAACAACAACACGAAAGCGAAGATGAAGATGAAGAAGAAGGGTCTTGCGTATAAGAACAATGAAACAAAACACGAAGGAGGAGAAAAAGAAAAAGAAGAAACAGAAATTAAGAGGGCGAATAATTATATTGATCATACGATGAAGAAGAAAATATGAATATTAATGAAATGAAGAGGGAGAAGAAAGAGAAGAGGAAGAAGAAAAAAAAGATGAAGATGAAGAAGAAGAAGAAGAAGAAGAAGAAGAAGAAGAAGAAGAGAGAGAGAGAGAGAGAGAGAGAGAGAGAGAGAGAGAGAGAGAGAGAGAGAGAGAGAGAGAAGGAAAGAGGCAGAGAGACCGAGAGCCAAGCTGAATTATATCTGGCAACTATACTGTAAGTCTTCCCACCTGAGTCGCGAATGCAGAAGTTCACGAACAACACATCGGTCTGTGCTGTCTATTTCACTCTGATATTACAGGTGAGAGCGTATTTTTTGTCGGTGATTAAGACTTGATGCAGATGGCGACTGAAAAGGTCGCATTTGAAATCGGTTTTGTTCGAGAGATACTGTTTGTTTTCTAGTGAGTTTTCAAAGTAAAAAGGGGGATGGGACTAATGATAACCATAATAATGTGTGTTTGGAAATGATAGAGTAATGTGTCCTAAATTCTTAAAATTTGCATCGTGCGATTACTGAAATGTGCAAATACGTGTTTCATTTTTGAGAATTATCTCAGGCTGTGGGTCTGATAACGTTAGAAAGGGCATGTTCAGCTATCAGTGAGTTTTATTTTTTATTTAGTTGGTGAAAAGGCGAATACAAATTAAGCAGAATATGTGGATATACATATGTTGCTGGAGACGAGAGAAGAATATTCATTAAAGGAAATAGATTATCAATCCCATACAAACTAAGACCGATAGAAAGAGAAGAAAAGAAGAGGGAGAGATAATGACAGTGGCACGGCTTGAGACCAACTATCGAATAACAGGGATGCCCGGGGCAAGTTGTGTACCACTTCAGTAACTCCATAATCAGTCAACTCACTGTGGTGAATAGTAGAAGAAATCAGTTTTTAATTATAATTTTTGTGTACCTTACTCATCATGCTTTTATCTGTAGTAACGGGTATATCATGACAACTCTCGAACAGTAGAACAATACCTGTGAAAGGACTTAGGAATGAGCACAGGCTAATGATAGTGGTGTTATTTGTGTTGGCAAAATATGACTGAGTGTTAAAGACATGTGTTGGGGTTTCTTTTTACGGACTAGTCGATTATGCCACTTTCGAGTATCACCAAAAAAGAGTAATTGTGACCTGATAATTTTGTCTTGTACAAAGTGTAAGTCGGTCCGAGGTGCTGGTGGGGTCTTCTGGGTCTTTTTAATATTTTTTTCCGTAGAAATTATTATTATTATTATTGTTATTATTATTATTATCATTATTATTATCATTATTATTATTATTATTATTATTATTATTATCATAATTATTATTATTATTGTTATTATTATTATTACTACTATTATTTATAATGCCTATACGAAACATAAAAAAAATATGAATCCATTTTTTTCATTTATGCAGTGACCTGCAAATGAGGTTTTCGTTTATTTCGATTACACATACAGTATAGTAGGATCACTAATCTTTCGAATTGCAGACAAAAAAATGTACGTCTAATATTTAGAGTTTCGAAGCAAAACGTAAAGAAAAATACCTTGACCCGGTTTCCCTTCTGTTATTCTTGACAGACCGAGAGCGCCATGCCGGAGCACCAGCTGCCTGTGGCACTAGAGGAGATTCCTGAAGAAGAAATGGCCCGATACCCAGTCAGGCGCACGAAAGGCGTGAAAACCTTCGTCAGGACAAAGCCTGGAGGCGTCCTCATGCCTGCGACGTGAGTTGAGAAGATGCGGGAGTGAGTACGTGTGTGTATGTGTGTGTGTCTATACCCTGTTACTGAAATGTGATAATCATGAAGGACTTTTTTCTTTTTTCTCCGTGTAGATTATTGTTGCAAGATTTATTTTATTCATTTTTTCCAGTTCCAATTCGTTTCAATTCATCTGTGTCATATACTAGTTTGGGAGTCAGCAACGGACAGTGGTGTAGGCCTAACGATAGTCATGATTTTTTTTTACCATTATCTTCAGCCACAAACACGGAAACCCTCTTCATATATTCTATATTAGTGTATGATCTAGGTGCACACAATTACTGAAATAATTCCGTCACTTTTTAACGTATAATCAAATTCGGTATTCTAGGAACTGAACTCTGCATCGCCCGTAGGCATATTGACAATAACTGCCTGTGGTCGACACTTGAACGTTGATGAAAATGAGAATAACTGGTGAAGATTGATGGTTATGGTAATCCACTCTAGTCTTTTTCAAGTTGGTTTCAGGAGAATAACTCCTGAGAGGATTGTTGGATTGGATTCATATTTGTTATAGATATATTTTACAATTAAAAAGAAAGAAATAAAATAAAATAAAACATCATATGTATATATATATATATATATATATATATATATATATATATATATATATATATATATATATATATAAAATATGTATATATATATATATATATATATATATATATATATATATATATATATATATATATATATATATATATATAATATGTATATATATATATATATATATATATATATATATATATATATATATATGTATATATATATATATATATATATATATATATATATATATATATATATATATACATATATATATATATATATATATATATATATATATATATATATATATATATATATATTCGATTTTGATTACAATAAACGAAATTCTGAACAAGCAATGGCATTTCTCATCTTCAGTTTAGGTATTTACCTCGAATTATTATGCCTATTTGACATTCATACAAAAAGTCCTTTATCCATTTGAATGATTTTCTTTTTTAGATCTATTTATATACAACCTAGCAGGCCTCTCAGTGGTGCAGTATCTCAGCAACTCGCAAAACCAAGAGGCATTTTGATCTACACATGCGTTTCTCAAATATACTACGACCGTAATTTTTATTATCTATTTATCTATCTATCTATCTATCTAACAATCTATCTATCTATCTATCTATCTATCTATCTATCTATCTATCTATCTATCTATCTATCTAAATATATATTCTTTTTTAGAGCGGTGTCCTGAAAGAAACTGAATGTTTTTTTTAATGGAGAATCTTGCCTTTTTACTTTTCTTTCCAATAGGCAATGCTTTCTTTCTTTCTTCAATGCTTGCTTTCTTCAATAGCAATTTGATTCTTGCTTTCAATTTTACTGTTAATGCAGTAGGCGAGCTTTGGTTTGTTTGTCCCATGGCCTAATGTGCTCGTTTCTCTTCGCTGGAAATCGCTCATACACTATTTGTATTCTATGACTTCAGAATATTTTCCATAAGATTTCCATTCTTACTCTCCAACATTTTTCGGTGAACCCCCATAGCTCTTTCCTTATTTCGGCTTTGAAGGACATTCGCTTCTTAATCCCTTCTAATATAAGCACACAACCTTTCTTCATTCCGTCTCTTCAACTTCCTTCCTGTAAATCTTAATTGCATCTGAAGATTGTCCGGCTGAGGACAGTATTTCAAAGCTTGCCATTTTAACCTTTTGTGGAGCACAGACGACCTGTCAGTGTCCCTCTCTCTGATTCACTCTGTCGCTTTTTACCAGTGATATTTGGTGCTCAGTAACGACTAGTGTATAGATGCTTCCCTGTCAATCATTCTGTTCAAATCTCTGCTTTAAAATGCCCTTAAATGTGGCATTCGTGATTCTGTCAGATTCATAAGCATTCTTTGGGGTATTTTGTGATTTCTTGTGGCCAGGCTCTTGTACAGCAAGGCATAGATATTTTAGGTATACTTATCTTTTCGATTTTAATATCTTTAACTTCCCACTTTCTTGCCAATCAATTCCTTATTAGTCTTGCTCTTTTCTTCCATTTCCATTTACTCTGTCTCTACCCTATCGGTCCTAATGTTTTTTGTGTGTTTTTTCCTAAGAGGTGTCAAGCTTGTTTGAGTATATGATTCAGACGGTTTTATAATTTTTTTCTCCATTCAATTATATCGAAAATAAGCGGCTATTCGTTATTCCAGTTGTCCGCTCTGCTTGTTTGTCCGTGTTTCTGTTTTGTTGCTGGAAGTAAACTTGTCTGGCTTGGAGAGACCTGTCGCCCTTCAAGCCCCTTCATGTTCTGACCTTTGATTATT